CCTGACTGCTACACGGAAACCATCCACGGAACTCTCAAACGCATCGTCGGGTCCTTTACACCGTCTGTAAATAAGCGCGAAAAAAGCCCATAGCCCATCCATCTGGGCAGTGACATTACTCACAGCACCCACTGAAGCAACTAATGTTATCACTGTAGTTAAATTCTTCTTCAGGCATCAAAGGGCTGAGCTCACCAGTAATAACAGTCCTCGCGGAGAAGTCGACGCGCTTGCCCATCAGGTTCCCTCTCAACCGGCCCTCCTTCCCTTTAAGTCGTGATCGAAGAGCCTAAAGCGAACATGGCGCAACAACAGCATCTGACATAGAGATAGCCAACACGCCTCATTGTTGACAGCCTGGAGATGATGCGTACTGGTAGCTCATGTTCGCACCTTGATGGGTTTCTTGGAGCGCGTAGTCGCTACTGGTACCCCAGGAATGTCATTATCGAAAAAGGTGGTAACGTGGTACTGCAGCAGGAGGTTCATTTCCTGCAGAACAGCCGAAGGCACTGAGTCTCCCTGTCTTTTGAGCGAAGCGTTTGTCTTGACAATGTCTACAAGTTTCAGCGTCAAGTCATCTTCGCTCCTAGTGTTCCCGTTCTGCACACTGGGGCGGACTGCCGGTGGGGGAATGGGTAAAGTGCTGAGAATAAAGGACGCCGGATGAGCTCTCTCAGGGTCGAAGCCCAGCAAACGTATGTCTTGTTCGGGCACCCTCTTAATGATAGCAAGTGCCTCCTCAGGGACCAGCACACGTCGCAGGTCCTCAGGGGCCTCTTCGTCTCCTTCCGCACCCCCCTTCTTCTCTGGGAATGCCACCATCAGGTTAGGCCCCTCTTTAAAGTACCGCGGCTGCAGACAGCCGCAGCCACCACCCACGCCCGCAGACTCCTCCGACATATCATCTTCCATGTCACACCTCCTCCTCCCCGCGCATAGGTCGACCAGCCGCTTCAGCCGTTTCGCAGGAGCCTTTACTTGTGCTGCTGCCTGAAGTCTGGGATCGTTGCGGGAGACAAGAAGGCGACCGCATGAGCAGCAGACGCAACGGAGGACGCGCAAAACTGCTCCTATGAAGCCGTAGTGGTATACGGGCTTGACGAGGTTGAGATGGCCAAAGTGGCCTGGGCAGTTCTTGACGTCCATGAAGCAGGTTTGACATTTCAGCCGATAATCCAAGGTGCCCAGACGGAGGTCATTTAGACCGTTTGCCTTCGGCAGCCCCTGTTCATAGAGCTCCGCGCTCGTTATTTCGCATACAGACATACGCTGAATCTGCTCGGCACTCAGCACTCCGAATTGAATCGCCCCAACCCGCTTATACGGGCATGGGGAATACGGCGTGGCCAGAGAGAGTGTCGCCATTGTGTTACTCCAAATTGAGCAGCAGGCGAACGGCAATGACGAAGCCTAAAACAGGCAAGGCCTATTGGGGGCAAAGGAGGCCCCGGAGAATTGAAAGCAGATATGCAGCGAGCTAAGACCGTAAATAAAGCAAAGATAAGCCCCGTAACAAACAAGAAATGAAGGACCTGGGGATTACCGCGTTTCCAGTTCAGGAGTTTGCAGCTCGCAGCGCGCTAGGGCGCCGCGAGCTGCAGAGGGGGCGGCCTCTAGTTTGCGTCAAGAAGAAAGCTGAAGAAACGATGAATATTATTCCGTTTGTTCAGCGACGCAAGCGCGGGAAGCGTAGAGGAGGGCAGGATCTGCTCAACCAGCGCGGGAGTGCGTTGTAGAGAAGACGAAAACATTTGCGGCACACCCGTCTTCTCCCTCGCTAAATAAGCAATATGCAGCAAGTTAGAAAATGGGGGGAAAGAAATTTAGAATGCACCGAGCAACTTTCCCCACGTCCAGTCTCTCACCATGCGCGCTCTCGCATGCAGACAAAAAAGGACGGGGCCTTTGCTTGTCATGCCTTTACCCTGCGTCACTTGCGGCCTCTGACCAATTCATTTTTGTCCGGTTTACTTGCCCAAGGTTTACGCCGTATTTTACCACTGCTTCCGGACTGCCCTGCGGCCGAACGTAGGACTCTTGGGAGCGTGTCCTCCTCGACCCCGTTGTGGGAAACTGGTGCGCGTCACCCTGAGCTTCGCTGTGGGAAAGTGGGCAGCTTCCTCTTTCTTGCTTCCTCCCGCAGTTTCTGCTCTTCGTTTTGTTTAGCAGGGAGGGAAGGAAAGAGAATTTAACGTTCGCAGAACAGGATAAGACGCTTTTGCCCGTACACGGAAGCGCGCGGAGCAGGAGCTGTTGCAGCAAAGCTAGCAAGAGGAGGGCACCACAAACACTTTAAGCTATTTTCCTCAAATTATCAAAGATGCCGTCCGTCATCGGCAAGGCTGGACCTCCTGCGGACCTTCGCCGCTTCATGGAGAAGCGCTTGGATGGTACGGCAAACACAAATATGGTAACCCTCGCGCTATCTAGTTCTGCATAAGCTACCATAGAGGAACCCATATCATGTCGCACGTTCTGCCTCCATGTTTAATATAGAGGTGTTTGAGTGCTATTTTTCTCTTTTTCTCTGTATTTCCGCAGTTCACCTCAGCGGGGGCCGGCGCGTCGTGGGCGTGATGCGGGGGTACGATACTTTCATGAATGTTGTTTTGGACAACGCACTGGAGCTAAGGGGAAGGCCTGGCTCCAAGCAGGTGGAAAGGAACGAGCTGGGAATGGTAGTCATTCGTGGAAACTCAATTCTAGACTGGGAATGCCTCGACAAAGTGAGGCCGTAGATGCAGCAGGGAGGTGACGGTGCACACCAGACCACGTGGGAGAGTTCGCGACGAATGACCAACTTCCATGGTATTCTTAGGGCTCCTGAATATGGCTCGGTCTCTGTGTTTTGCAAGTGACGGGGTGGGGATTCAGTTGCTGGGTGCTCACGTGAAAAATTTCGCTGTAGCACTTAAGCAAGAGCTGCTCACTGCACTTTGCGATCATTTGCGCATGAACTATTGCATCAGTTGTGCGCAATACAGATTTTCCCGTCGTGTCGCTTCCTTTCGAAGATCGCTGCGCAACAAGGCAAGCTATGAACAGAAAAACGCGCATTACCCTCTTCAGTAGTGCTTCATGTGGTGATTGATTGGATGCATCAGTGAAATTTTCGAAGGCTAGGCGTCTCCTGCTTGATGCACAGGCCCACTCGGGGCAGCACAGCTCACACAGGCAGCAGAGATTAGAAGCAGTGACGTTGTGAGTTTCACGTCTTACTGCACCGGACTAATGGTTCTTTGTAGTCAGTCCTTTCATTGGTTAGCTGTTGTAGGTTTTATTTGTGTGACAGTATTAAGTTAGGCTCCCGCTGTTGTGAGCTGCCTATCGCAATAGAGCAACGTATTCCGCTACATCTATGGGAGGCATCAACGTGTAGGAAGAACGCGAATTCGGGGTTGGTTCGAAGCTTAGTGAGCGGGAAAGCATATCTCTTATTGTCAGAGTTGAGACGCACAAACACACACACGAATATTGGGGAGCCGGGCTTTCCTGCCGTTCCCTTCACAGCTCTGTGTTGGGACGTCAAGTATCTGTGTTGGGATGCCAAGTATCCAGTAGTAGCCAGGTTCGCGGCTTTTATCGGTTCATCATATCTAAAATTGAGTAATGAAGAAGCCCCCACACGGCCAAAGCCGAGTTGTACTTAATGCGGCAGCGACAGCTCATCTTGAGAGCATGTAAGGAGGTGGCATTTCAGGTTCAATATTCTCTGCATTTTTCCGTCGCCGTAGTCTGGTCTGAGAGGTACGGGTGGGTGGGCCTGTCGTTTGCACTTCACAGCGCCAGGAGAGGAGTAGCTATAACAATCGCCACACCCGCCACGTATCAGCCAATCTGCGAGGCAGACTCGGCGTTAAAGTAACAGGCGCAGCTAGCTGTTCTACGAAGTATTATCTACAGGGTAGGGCCCTGAGCACCTTTACTTCCCTTTTAAACAAAAGTTGAGGCCATGGTGTCTACTTACTTGGGCTATTGTATTCACATTAGAGGGCAATAGAAAGAAACTCATGAATTATTACTCGTGCATGTCACGGTTGGGGGGTAGGGCTCTCAGGGCTTCGTGGTTTCAGGTTTTTGGGTCGAGTGCTGGAGGTAGTAGCAGTTCCGAGGTCTACGATGCTGGAATTTTCCTTCATTTGCTTCAAGACTTAGCACTAAGTATGGAAAGGTGGTGGTGTAGCTTATTAAGCAAATAAATGAGTAGGACGCGGCGGCGGCCGACAGGTCGCACTGCGTGGCCCAGCTCCGCACGCGGTTTATCTCTTTTTTGCCACAACATGGTGCCCTGAGGCTGCGTCTACATATGCGCACGCAATTACTGCCTATTCTCCTGCTTAATGGAGAGGAAAAGCCCCGTTGTGAAGGGCAGACATGGCTGAACACTGGACGCAAATGCGAGCGTTCAGGTGGACCATCCACACAGATCAAGAGTAACTCCTTGAGAATTGAACAACAGACGGCATCATTGCTGCAGTATTTAACGTGACATTTTTAATCATGCTAGTTAACACTGGAAAAATGAGTAATGGGGTAGTTTCTTCTTATCGCCCGGAGGCCACAGAGTTGTCCTTGGGGCCCCTGGTCGTCCGAGGCCATCGGCAATAGCGGCTGTTCGTTTATCACGGTTTTTCCCTCAATTCCGTAGCTTCAACTATTGTTTTAATGCCAGATTTCACAAAATTTGTTGTCTGAATCCTGTAGGTCAGCGCTTGGGGATGCCACAGACACTGCAGTCTGACCGGGTTCTCCATGCCAGCCACTCACTATTCCTGGTGTCCTCATATCTGCCGGCCTTTTCTTGATCCCCAAGGAGTTTCCTTCCTCTATTTAAAGCAGGCTTCATTTTTGTGTGGGAGAAAAGGGGAATGATTTTTACAGCCGTCTCACGAGCAGCTCACGCCGCTTTTTCTGCGTGTGTGTTTGAGTGGACGGTGACGATAACATTGAATATTCCAATACATTGAGTCTCGCCCTGGTACAGATATCTTCAACAAATGGCCGGCACCGAAATGGGCCTCAGGGGGCCCCTGGTACCGGCTTCTTGGCACTGGGGCGGCAGTCCTTATCAACACAGCTTTCAACAAACCGCTGGCGGAGCAGCCGGCACAGCTGTTGCAGTATCACAACCCACAGAGCAGCATGGCCCTAAGGAAGAAGAAGTGCGCAACTGCGATGGTAGGCAAATTCTAGCCGGCATTTGATTGGACACTTAACAGCAGACACCGGCAGGCAGCACATAGTCTCTCTCTTTACGTTACGACGGCTGTTATGTTTCCTAGTTCTTGCTTGACCGTCGTTGGCTGGACTCTTTTTACAGAAGCTGCTGTTGAAGATGGGAGTTGGGTATGTTTCTGGTCCATTCAACAGTTCCGAGAAAAGCGCTGTGCGCTGATGGGTCCCCAGCGATTTCGCTCGTACTTGGGAATTGCGAAACTTGCATGTGGCACGAGTCTAGCTGCATTCATCGCAGGTGAAAATGCAACAAAACTGCAGCATGATCAACAGCAGCAGCAAAGACTACAGTAGCCACTATGAGAGCGCCAGCCATATCATCAGCACCAGCCATTACAGTTCCAGCGCTAGGTCCAGAACCTTACCGATGCATGCGGATTTTGCAGATGACGGCCGCCTGTACTGCTGGAACTGGGGTCAATGCGGCAGTATGCATGCATGCAGCCCTCAGCTGTTGGAGGGCCGCAACTTAGACAAAATGACTGTCGTTGATGTGGCTTGTGGGGAGAGTCACCTCGCATGCATTACAGGTGTGTGCCCTGTCTTGAAGCTTCTGAACCGAGGGCTTACTACTAAATCTACACTTCTCAGGGTGCAAATAAATTTAGAGATTCCCGCCTTGGGCATGAGCACTAGAGGGTTCCGTTGATGCTGAAATAAGTAGCTGCTCTTATGTTTGGGCCCACATGCAAAGACGGAGGAAAGCAACGACAAAAACAGAGGAAGAGCTGTAATTGTCGACAGTTTTTGCTTATGTGAGTTTTGGTTTCCTTAGCTGAAGGTCGTGTCTTCACGTACGGCAGAGGGGACCGAGGCCAAAGAGGAAGCGGCAAGGTCACAGACGGGCAGCAACACGGGTACGGCAATCCTTCTCCTTAGCGTAGCACTATGCATAATCTATACCCTACGCCTCTATAGAATAGATAGTTTATAATGGGTATCTTGCTGCCTTTGCAGGGGACCTGATGAGGTGCTGTTCCCGAGGCAGGCGAGACAAGCAGCATGCGGCGCCAACTTCACTCTCATACTCACAGGTGAATTACTTGCATTGGGTTTTTCTTAAAGCAGCAGAAGCTGCTTTAAGAAAAACCGCTGATGTAGTTGCTTGCACAAGTGCAAGCAACTGCACCAGCCCCAGCAGAGGCAGCAGTGTCAGCAGCAGCGATCGGAGCCATTTATTTTCTGTCTTCGCTTCTCTGTCCTCAGATGATGGGCAGCTTTACTCATTCGGTGATGGGAGCTACGGAGTCTTAGGAACAGATGCTGTCTCGAGTAAGTAAGCCTACTACACTGCCTTAAGAGCAATTGCAGTGACTGTTGGTGCCGCTGAGATCATTGCGGTGGCTGATGTGAAGAGTTCCTCTGCAGCTCGTTGGACTCCGACGAAAGTTAAATTTCATGACAGAAAAATTGGGCTCGTAGCTGCGGGAAGGCACCATGCAATCGCAGTCACTGGTCAGCAGGCGGCAAACCAAGCGATAGAGGGCAACAAAGCCAAAGCAGAAGCAGTCTTTAATAAGCAAAAAGAACAGGCGGGGAGACGAAACGGGAGGACACAGATTTGCGCAGCAGCAGCCACGATAATGCAGGCTTATACATAGATATACGGTCGAAACGTTTTCTGTGTGTGCGGTTCATGGCTTCAGATCTAGGGTGTACGTACTCATGGGGACGGAACAATCTCGGACAGCTCGGGTTAGGCCACAACGATGACCGCTGGACACCTCAAGTGGTAAGCCACGAAGGCATGATTTCCGCTGCTTGTCATCCCTAGTTCTTTTTGTCTTTATCCGTATGAGAAAGCCCACCGCATGACCAAAAAGAAAATCGGCAGTGCCCTACACTCTTACTATGCAACGTCCTCGGCCTCTATTATTCTGGGCCTTCTGTGCACTTGACATGGCATGTGGAACTGCAGGTCTCTGAGCTTGGGGGCCAGCGCACTGTGCTGGTGCTAGCGTCGGATGCCTCAGTGGCCGCCACAGCTGGAGGCGATTTCTTCATATGGGGGGGTGCTGAGGGCAACCTCCCGGTGCCACTGGAACGCAACGACTTCGTGCAGCTAGCAGTAGGCGATGCGGTGTACGGACTGACCGCAGAAGACAGCCTTTGGATGCGGCCCTTGGGTTCTCTGTCGCAGACACTAAGTGCAGGTGTTGTACTGCCTGCAGCAGGCGTGACACTGATTGCTGCTGCGGGCGAGCTGCTCATGGGAGTTGCGCCTGGGTCTTCCTACATGGAGACAGAGCAGCAGGAGCAACAGGTACAGGAGCAGCAGCAAGAGGAGGAACAAGGGGACAAGAATCGGGGTGAATGCGTGCAAGCTATTGACCAAGACGCATATGCGGAGACAACTGCAACTGATGACGCACTGCAACGAGACATTGTAGACAGAAGGAAGAGAGTGTCCTTCTCGGAAGTAGTTGAAAGCTTTTCAGTACAAGTAATTGAATACCAGGCCCGGCACGTCCTCTCTGCAGTGTACATGCGCAGCAGAGCGCTAAGCAGTATTTAAAGCCAGTAAGCAGCAGCCTTTGATAATATGTGCTTTTTCACGAATTCGCCTTGCTTTCTCTTTCAGGCAGAATCCACCAAGAGCCCCCGACGCAGCGAGTCAGGGGCCTCTCCCCAGCTAAAGAACAGGACTCGTTCCCTACCACCTTCTCGCCAGGCCAAAGGAGCACAAAATGCTATTAGCAGCAGAACCCGTTCCCTGAGCCCCGTAGAGTCTAAGGCTCGCGTCGCTGCTGCAGTGCAACAGCAGCCGTGTCTGAGGAAGGCAGGAGGAACAGCCGCTGCAGCAGCAGCCACGGTGAAGACCAAAGTTCGACAAAACCCCCTGACTCTTTCCGCTGCAGCAGCAGCCCCAGCAGGAAGACACTCGCCAACAAACGTGGCTGCTGCAGAGCAAGCAGCAGAGAGAGAAGGGAAAACCGCAGATGTGGGCGTTTGCTGCAACAGCAGCGGGAGTATCGGGAGCCTCTTGTGTTCACGCACTTGTCGAGCAGGTACAGCTGTTACGGATGACGAGATCTTCTCTGCGAGCACAACAACAAATGCAGCAGCAGACACAGACACCTTGAGCCCTCTTCACAATGCTTCGAGCCATCAGTCCACACCTGAGTTTGGCTTTTCAGCCACAGGGATGCCCTTGGGGGGCAGTCCATCGAACGCCGAGCGCTTGGAGAATGTAGGAAGCCCGCATACACCTTGGAGCCCCGCGTGCGAAGCAAAATCACCTAGTTTGCTCACTCCACTCAGAGACGGAGACCAACAAATCAAGCACAATGAATTGCAGCTCCAGCAACAACAGCAGATGCATCATCAAGCACATCTACAGCAGCAACAGCAACAGATACAACTGCAGCAGCTGCAACTACAGCAGCACCAGCCTCAGCAGCAGCACATGCTTTCTCCGATCCAACAGCAACTTCACATGACTCCCATGCATGACCACCCACAGCAGCTGCAGCAACACCACCAACTGCAGCAACAAAGCCAACTGCAGCAACAGCACCACTTGCAGCATCAACGCCATCAAGAACCGCCGCTTCACCAGCCGCATCTCTTGCCTGCTGCTGCAGAAACGCTATCTATTCCCTCCACATTCCCCGATTTGCGCCCGGCTGCCCCATCATCTCAACAGCCACTCCAGCCGGTGTCCCCTCTCTACCCCCACAGCGGCTACCCCAGCCATGGTGTTTTACCTTGGGCAGCAGAGCACGAGCTTCAACAACAATTTGGGAGCGAACGGAGGCTCGTGGGTCGTAGTGCGGGTCCTGGAGAAGCAGATGGCTCACGAGGTCCCCTGCCTTCAGGCAGCGAAGTGGCAGCGCTGGCGCTGGGCCTAGAGCTACAGCGGCAGGCGTCGCGCCTGCGTCTGGAAAGCACAGCACCAACTAGTAACAGAAGCAGCAGCTGCAGCAGCAGCGCGCTGGAGTCGCAGCTGCAATCGTTCAGACTAAATGAACTGCCCATGCTTTTGGCCGGGAGAGAGACGGCAATTGCAGGAGAGTTAGCAGCACAGAAGGAAGCAGCAGAGCTGAGAAGGGCTCTAAGCTTGTAAGTTTATTGCACGGTCCAGATAACTGTAACTGCCGTTGCTGTTGTTATGGCATCTTCCATTTTCTCCTTGTTTGTAACTCCCTCAAGTAGTCTGTATTGGTGCGCAGCTTTGATAACAATTGGTCACTGCTGCTTGCGTCGTGTACCTGCACGTCTATCCCTCTTATTCTTCCTCTTACCGCTGTCGTGTGTCCTATCTGCTTCTGTACACTGCACACTGCAGCACGCAAGCCTCACAGGCAAGCTGCTAAATGTGCATGCATATTTTTGCGCGAAACTGTGCGTCATAGCTCTTTTGATATACCGGAGAGTGCAGAAGCCCACTTTTATTATTTTCGCTCTGGCTCAAGTGCAGTTATTTCCCTTCTCCATTTTCATTTTGTATCGCTGTTCTTCTTTGCCATCCCCTATATTTTCTTTCAGTTTTATTCCGTATACATTGCTGTTTCCATATCTTGCACCGTATAATTTAGGGCCAGAAAGGACAGCGCTGACACGGAGCAGGAGAAGCTCCAACTCATGAAAGAAATCAGAAGCCTGAAGTCGAACTTGGAAGACGCAAAAGCTGAAGCCGTGAGAATGCACATACATGCAAGCACATGTGCGTGGATATGGGGTGCACGCAAGCGCGCGCATTTGCTCGCAGGTATCTCTATCCAATGAAAATGTAATGCTAATGAATGTGCTTGAACGCATCGTTGCATGCAAGCTCACATGCTTTTAGTTTTTAACAATCAAGCACTTGGTTGAATCAGGATTTCCCAAGGCAACAAAATGTGTGCAATGACTCACGCGACGCGCTCCAATGTGCATGTCGACACTTCAAAATGCATTAAAGGGCACTTCCCGTATGCAAGAGCAGGAAGCTACACACATGAACACCAAAAGTGATCTTCTGTTTTTTTGCTGTACTTACATTTTAATCTATTTTCCTGGGCCTGTCTCTGACACCATTGCATGCAACTTTCCTCGGCTGTTTTTTTTATTTCGTATAGCTAAAGAGAAACCAAACTGTGGAGGGACTGGAGGACCAGGTTTCTCGACAGAAGAAGCAAATTGACCGACTGAAGACAGAGCTGGAGGAGGAGGCGTCACAAAATCACAGAGACCTTAAACAGATGCTAGAGGTAAGTCTCTGTGTTTCTCTGGTCGGCGTATTTAATCTAAGTTTTGTATCCGTATCTTTCCTTTACATGCTTTTTTCCACACTTAACAGTCCACCTCATAGGCTTGAAGACAAGACAAGACTTGAGTATGCTACTGTCGTGCGTGTTCGTGCTTTCATTCTTTTGTTGGTGCTAGCTGTGCTTCGCGAAGTCGCATTTGCTCAAAAAGTAACATGGACAAGAGGTAGCAGCGCCTGTTTATCTCTTTTGTGCAATTTTTCCCTTGACTCTTGCCTTGCTTTGCTCGGCCCTTTGTCTCCCGGCTCTTCCGTACTGCGCTCCCGTGCCTGTTTTCGCTTCTCTTCTACTCCTTTGTTCCTCTCATTTTGGCTCCTTCTCTATCTTGTTCTTGTACATATTTGCCTTCTAATTTCGTTCTGCCAAAGCGTTTGTTGTTCGGTCTTGCTTGCCTTTGTTTCAATTTGTTTGTTGCAACAGAAATTGCATCTAACTGAAACGCGCAGGCAGCAAATGCATCAGCAGCTGCAGGAAGCACACGCGTACATTCATCAGTGAGTAGCGAAATAGGGCATAGAGCTTCAAAATTTACGCTGCAAGTTTGAAAATATAGAGTTCGTAGTTTATATGGTAGACTGAGCCAGAAGTAAGGTGGATGCAGTGACTGCATGCTCACTGTCTAAGCGGCTGATCTTTTCTTGCATTTTTTTGTCCTGCAGGTTGGAGGCTGAAAGGAAAGACGCCGTAAGTAAATCAGATCAAATCTGTATTCCCCAACTTACTCATGAGCTTAAAACCTAGGGAAGATATGCGAGCCTCTGTAGACGTGTAGATAGAAGGGTATAACTCATTCTTTACCATATATGCTTGTTGTACACACAGTGTTCTCACTTGCATTTACTCTTATTGCCATACAAACGGTATACGCCTACGTAAGGCACGGAGTGATTTCACGTGCAAGAGTGCCCTCAAAGTTTTGTTTATGAGCACATAGAAGCACTCCCACGATAAACACTACGACTCCTGGGCAAACGGAGCTCAAATTAGAATAGCTTCATTCGGGTGTTCATTTCATATATGATTAATTGGGAACTGTCCCTGCTGCATACCTTTTTCTTCATTATCGTGGTCCCATTCTAATTTTATGCCCACATTTTTCACCTTTCGTCAGTGAATCATTGTGCTTCAAGGGTCTGCTGCGTTCTGAGCTGGACAAGCTGAGAAAAGCACTGACGAAGGAATCTACTGAAAAGGTACGAGTTCTAGCAGCAGTGCCGCTACGTTTTATCCTACTCGCACACTTCATTTTATAGAAACTTAACCCGTTATCCAGTCACATTCCACTTACTGGTCCAAGCTCATGTAACTTCGAATCTGATGTCTTTCTTTTGTTTTGGACCCTGCTATTGCCCTGCCCTCTGCGATCCATGTGCATCCCATGACCCCCTCTTAGGAGGATCTTTGCAAACAAGCGGATGCAGCAATTAGTGAATGGCAGAATTCATATGCCAAACTGCAAACAGAAGCAGAGGAGGCGGCGGCGCTTGCGAAGAAAAACGAAGAAGTAGCAGCAGCTGCACAAGCAGAGTCAGTTAATCTACTGCAGTGCATGAAGAACGACGAATGAATGTCTTTACGAACAGCGAATATTGAAAGCGGGGAATGACAACGCATTTCCCCGGTTTTTGAGTGACGCCAAGTCTTCTGAAATGTCTGCTTGCATTTGGATTTGGCTTGGCCCGACGCAGGTTGCAGCAAGCTAGGCTGACACATGAAGAGGAGCGTAAAGCTCTGGTCAAAAAGATAGACGACTCAGAGGAGGAGCGGCTAGCTGTCCAAGCCGGTAAGAATCACTACTCGTTTGTTCTTCTCTTTTTCCGTTGTTCTGTACGTGCTTTCCGTTCTGTCTGTTTGTCGTCGCCACTCGCCGCCACTATGGGAGCATGTGGTGACTTTTAGTTTGTTCCTTCCTACTTTATGCCTGGAGTCTACGTCTTTCCTTGTGCCCATTGATTTGAATACATTTTAGAGCCTTTTTACCGCGTTTTTATAAGAAAAAGTCAGTAGTAGCACCGTGCACGTGAGCCTGTGCGCATCGCCACGTAAATACTATATCCACTACATTGCTACGCACTATAGTGCCCATCATTGTGTTTTTTTTCCCGCCATTCTGTTTGCGCCTTCGATAATGTTTTTCTGATTGCAGAGAAAGCATCTATACACTCGATAAAGCAGCAGCTTCAGCAGTATGAAAAAGCATGTGGCGAACATACAGCAGAGCTATCTGCTTTGAAGCGCACCGAGCAAAGATTGAGGCGCGAATTAGACGAGTATGCTCATTAGGCCAAGTAACTTTGCTTGTTAGATTGCTATCCCTTAACCGACTGAGTTACTGCAAAAGAAGCTGATTACACTTTTGAATAGTGTAAATTGGTCTATTTCGGAGCAATTTTAACGGGCTCAACGCTGTTCACTGGTTTCACGTCCCAGGCTTCTTTGGTGTACAAGGGAAAAGTTCTGTTCCTTTTACAATAGCTTTCTCATATAGCCCAAATCCAAGGGAGAGAAATCAGCAAGCCAACTGATCAAATTACTTGAAAGTATTTAAACGAGATAGTCTACATTTGCTTGAACAAACTCATTGCGGTTGTTGCTCTGCACACGTGGTCAATGCAGTCGCTGCGGATTGTGTTTTCGCAGAGCAAAGGACGATCAAACCAATGCGCAACTGTACATTACAACTCTTCAGGCTGAGCTTGACAAGTGAGTAAAATGGATGCAGAAGGGATGTGGCCATTGATGTCGTTTTGTTACGGATCGATGATTGTCTCGGTTTTTGTGAAGCCAACTGGTCTTGCATAATCAAAGGAACAGGCGTGGAATTAGCCATGTTGCTGGGCTAAACTATCCATTTTTGCAGGGCTTCGAAGGAAATATCGCAGCGCCAGGATAAGCTGGAAGACTTGCAGCAGAAGCTGTTGGAGTGCGTTTTATCTTCTCGTGTGGTTTCCCCTTAAGCTTCCAGTCAACTTCTGCTACATCCAAGCCAAAACGTAAAGCATATTTAGCTAACTATTGCAAAGGCCTAGTTATTTGATGACTCGGCACTAAAGTGAAGGCGCATCACGATATGGTGGTAAACCGCACTGCGACGGTTTTTGCCTGTCTCTGTGTGCAGCCGAGAGAACGAAAGCCTTCGTCTATTTGCTGCACAGCAGCAGTAAGCAGACTCAAAAAGAAGAGAAAAAATACGCCTTTGGCCAATCGTACACAGCACATAAACACATAGAGCAACAGAAGGCGCACTTTCCTTTTACATCGCAGGGCGGAAATTGAACTGCAGAAACTACGAGAAGGCCAAAGCGATTTCGAGCTCGAGATCCGCAGGTGATAGCCGTTTTAAAAATCAGTGTGGCTGTCTCAAACATCGGAATCTACCTTAAGCACAACATCGCTAAGAACAATGTACCCGTAAATGCACATAGACCTTTTCCAATGCACAAGCAGCTTCATGCCCTTCTGCTGTGGCTCGCTTCACAAATGTTCTCCCTTGCTCTGTTCCTTTTTAATACCGATGTCTCAGCCTCAAACAGACGCTGAAATTGAAGGAAGAGACCATCAAGATGCGAGAGGAACAGGTAATGGGAGGAACGCAGAAGCGTTTGAAGGGCCTGGGATGCTGAGTGTTGAGACTTTGAGGCTAGGAGTCCAAAGCTGCGTTCGTGCTCTTGCGGTTTAAGGTGGCAGAAGAAAAGTCAAAGGCGAGCAGCTCCGTCCTTCTACAAGGCGAATTGGAAGACTTGCGACAAGATCTTCTCTTGTCCCGCGAGAATGAGAAAAGTGTAAGATGGCAAATGTGCATCCTCTGGTACTACTTTGAGCATTGTGCACTTTTCTGAGAAAGTGCAGTGCAATGAAATTCGTTTGTTTCCGTAAATGTTCCCTTGTAAATTCACCGAGCCACTATACCGCCGTAGTTCCTCAGTGGTTGTCTAGTGCGCTCTTTCTTTTTCCCCCCACACAGTTGAATTATTTTTTATCTGTTTTTGTATTTGTTGCGCATCCATTTACTGTTTGCTTCAGGTATCTGCACAGCTGCGAGAGCTTCAGCAATCCATGGCCGCCCACCAGCGCATGGCTGAAGAAGCGACTGAGACGCTGCAACACAAGGAACAAGAAATCTGCGATCTTCAGGCCCACTTCGAGACAGAAATACAGACACTGAGACAAAACGTGAGCCATTTGCGAGTGTATGTGTTACTTGCTGCTCCCTCAGGCTAGGTTTCTGCTATCTCTCACGTGGTTTTCTTCCCCATAGTTTCGTTTGCTTGTGCTTGTTCTTATCTTCGATTTTTGTCCGCAGAATGACCTACTTAATGCAGACGTCAATTCGATGAGGGCTGCGAATGAAAGTGGGCGCATTCTCAGCACTTCTTGCTCACTTGTGGGCCGTGTGCATATAGACTAATCAGGACGTAGAGAGCTACCTCAGCTGTGATATCAAGTAGATAAACATTTTGTTCACTTTTTCGATTCAACATGCAGAAGAATTCATCTGACTTGTTATCCATTGCCGCAGGGCTCCAAGAGAAGCTGCGAGGCGTTCAGGAAATGGCAGAACACGCGCAGCAGCGCGACTCTCAGCTTCGCTCTTTTGTCTCCGTGATGGCATCCCACGTGAGAAATAGTTCAGAGCCTTTGTATTGACTGCGTGCACGAAGTAGGCTGCATGGTAATTGTACTGGAGGCATTTGTCGATTTTCCTGTCAATTGCATGCAAGAGAGTGTCTGTAATGTGTCAGTATGTGCTCCTTCCTTGTTTCTTCTGCTGTTTTTTGCCCAATTTTCAGTTAGTCGCTTGCGCCGAGATATTCTCACACAAAGGCCTCTTGGAAGTGGACCGTTCTCGTTGTATAGATTTCAGCTTCATTGAATTTGAGGCCGAAAAGAAAAGCGAAAATGAATCGGAGGAAACATGGGCCAGGGTGTGCAGCGCCGTGACCTACGTCTGCAGCTTGAAGCTCGGCAAAGTGTGCGAAAAGGTGATTCAGAAGCTACAAGATGAAGCCGACAGAGTGAACGCCAAATTAGAAGAAACACAAGAGCAACTGAAAGAAAAAATCAATGAACTCTGCGGCAAGAACGCGTACGCAGGCAGGCCAAAAGGAGTTGACTAAATGAATGATCCGGAATAAATATTTCCTTATCAGTGGACGTCATATACGCCGTGTTTGTTGCTTATCTACAACTTTTCATACCATGACAAGTGACTACTCAAGTGTGAATTTGCCAATGAAAGCTGTGCTTGCAATGCCTCTTGGCCTCCCGTTCATTACAGCGCGAATAATCTGGCGAGGGAAAAATGTGTCAAGTGCCTGAAACGCGCAGTTGATTGGCTCTTACCTATTTTACGTAGCTTCATTCTTTCCAAGAATTTCGAGTGCCTAATCCGATTCTCAGGTCTCTAGCTAAAGCACAAGAACTGCAGCTGCAAATTGGAGCTCTTGAGGAGGAGTTTGCGCGCAAGCTTGAGCAGATGAGCGAAATAGAGAGGGCAAGTTGCTAATTGTTTCTCATTAACTGACGGGCCATTTCAAACGAAGCAAATGTGTTTAAGGACCTCGTCAGCAGTGGCCTTGAGGATGCCAATTGCAGCGGTCTGTGTAAGCCTCAAACTAATGCATAGTCACACTTCAAATTTGCTTTCTCTTCACTTCTCAGGAAAAAGAATTTGTCAGGTCGAGAACCCAAGAACGCATTGAAGCCCTCGAAACGCAGCTATCCATCGCAAGAATGGTAAAGCGCACTTCGAGAATCCTAATTTTTCACTTCATTACTGAAGTACTATCTTCGTGTTGCTTATGAGGAAAGATTTCGAAGGAAAACATCTTCGTTGCACCAAATAATGGACTGGTTCTTAGCCCTTGCCTGGCCGGCACGTCTTAGGTGACTTTCGCTTCCGACATTCCATTTTCTCGTGCCAGTCGATTTATGACTGCTTTACGGTTCTTGTGTCGCAGACTGTTGCCGAAAACAAGACAGAAATAGCGCATTTGCGAGAGCGAAATTCAAGCTTGCTCTTAGAGTTGAATCGCCAGGAGGAGCGCGCCAATGACCTATCGAACCAAAATGAACGTTTGTCGTTCTTGAAGGACGAAGCTTCAAAAACAATAAGGGAAATAAACACAATGCGCACGCAAAGAGCTCGTGGCCGCGACGGCCCTCATAGCAGAATGCAGCCCGCCTCTGCTATCCCAAACAGGTGCACCTCTTTAGTCTCCTTGCCTCTTCCGAAAAAACAAGCGAACACAGTAAGTGCAAATGCAACACAAGCCCTCAGCACGAACAAAGTATGCACGACTCCCAGAAGCGCCAACACGCCAAGAAGCCTTGCACTTACTCCAAGAGGGTTCGGAGGGGCTGTTTTGAAGTAGAAAATGGTAGGCACGTGTAGTGTTGGAATCGGAATCGGCTTAAGTTTAAACATCCATGAACGCTTTCATAAGAATTCAAATACGGGAATGTAATTTTTGGCAAACGAACCAAGCCTTGGCAAACGAACAACTGTTTGTTCAAGTATACGCATAGTATATGGGTGCGTTTCATAGGTGCCTTTGCATATCCAAAATCGTATGCACTGAATGATGTGTAGACTTCGGGGCCGCCCCCGTCACTTTTTCTAATTAATATCTTGCACAAGCAAATGAATACAGACAAAATAAAGGTTTCACGCGCAAACAAGCAAAGATGTGTTCCCTTCCTCGTCTCGCAGTGTGCAGCAAATCACCCCTGAAGCTGCTCCTGCTCACGTAATTGAGGATAGTTACGCAAACCTAACGAACGCACCACAGCATTCAGCGTAAATATGAAGCCTACGCAGGTCTACCCAAAAAGCGCAAATGTACTTTCAGGATGCATGTACAGGTACTCAGTACAAGCTGTGAGGTGTTTCGCCACTGCCACTTTCCTTTAAAAGCTGGGGGGGGACCTTGTAAGGAAAAAGTTGACTGTTGCGGTGGCTTCAGTTCGACACAATCCGTATTCGGCGTATAACTAAATGGTCTGATATGACTAAGTTTCGTCTCGACAAAACAAAAAATGGGGATGAAAACACGCGCAATTCCACCTCAGGCCCTTCGGCCTGCACTGTCTACCAGGCTGTTATCTGGCTCTCCTCTTTCCGCTACAGAAAAGGGAAAGAAAAGTACCAAATCTTAAATAAACACATATGTCTACTACCGACTGACACGAACGGACGTCCAGGGCGCCGCAAGCGTGGCTTTCACTCATTAATCCTCATATCCTGGCTGCCGCCGCAAGCAAATACGTGCATGCTCTGTGACTGTAGAGCTCTGTTTCAAATGGGCAAAGACGTCGTGCGGAAGGCTAGCAAAAACAGACAGCACTACGGTGGGGAAATGAGAGTGGTATGAAGGAGCAGCTGGAAGGGTGACCCAACCGCCACAGAATAAAATGGTACTCCTGACCGACGTCTGTTAACTTACTTGTTCATATTTCAATAAAGAAGACAATAGGCGCATCCCGTATCTTGCATCCCCGATATCCGTAGGAGCAACAATGCACCGCGTATGTCTGTTCTTTCTGAGCCTTGAATTAAACATCCACCAACGAACAAGAAGGCTGACTGCACAGCACTCCGTGAACTTCTGGGACGACTAGCGTCTTGTGCGTGAAATGCAATAAACAGTTGCTGGTGCGACCAAATGTTGGTGAAAAGGAGTGGTGAAACTTTGTCATTTGCCTCAGTTTTAACTTGGGAGGTCTAGTTCATTTTGTCCGTCTCTGTCCGTCTCGTTTTGCTGAATTGCAGCAGTCTGCCCCCTTTATCTTCCTCCCGTTTTTCCTTCCCGCTGCCAAGAAATGAAAATTTACCCCAGCAAAGAATTCAATGCCGATGTCTCATCCCAATTTGCATTCATCAGCGCCGTCTGAAGCGAAAAAAAAGCACGACAATAACAACTTCAGGTATTCGCAACACCTGTGCAGTAAAGAAGGGCCAAAATAAGTAATGACAAACACGAGTAACACGAGCAACAAACAATCAACAAAATAACCGGGACAAAAACCGGATGGCACAGGGAGGAGAGTAGCAACGACAAAAACTAATGTGCAGCATCTCTGAATGTGGAACAAAATATTCAACGAAAATTCAGTCAGCCTCTCTGAAAACTTCACGTTACGGAACTGCCCACAATCTAGCCTGAATCCAGATGTACTGAGTCTATTTCTCTCCGCGAATTGTCAGTGCATCCCTTTTATATCATCATTTCTTTTGTAAAAGCAAATGTTGACGACAGCCATCGAGGCAGCATGCATTTGATGCGGTTGGTTTTGGGGTGCCTCTTACTCGAGCGGTTTCCTTGTCGAATCCCATGTCCGCCAGCTTCTTAACCTGCATGCACCTAGCAGTTGACATGTTCATATTTAACGCTTGCTCGTCCATTTTATTTCCTCTTGATTTCATAACAGCTCTATTTACGCAGTGGAGTAACCCACCTTATCTTCCTGTGATTCTGTAGAGTTCATGGCGAACGTTTCCGTCCAGTGGCTACAGCAGAAACGCCGGAAGTCAAACCCTGAACCTTAAACCCTAACCCTAAGCCCCAGGCATCAAAGACCCCAAAAGAGCCCCAGATTACAAACAAAATGTTGGATTCAAGCAGTTTACACTAAGGGCCTCCCTGCAACGTTGGTAAGACAGCAACGAATCCTGAACCCCATGCGATAAGTCTTCAACCTGTAACAAAGTAAAACATGTGGAGAAGCTTACCGCGCGGTCTTCTGAAACAGATCTGGATTTTCAATGAGCATTTTGGCGACTTCTGCGTCTTGAGGATCCTGAGAAATAAATATGTGGGGCCTAAAATCTAGGCATTTGGAGGAGCTGATTCAAACTGTGCGGCAAAAGTGGTTAAAAATCAGATAAATCGCTCAGAGCTGCAAATGCTCGGTTCGCTGGGACGGGTATGTGCTCACTGCTGCACAGAGCAGCATGGAGTTTTTTCACCAAACAATCATAAAAGGGGCAAAGTGATACAGATATAGTGTGCAACTTACTGTAGGCACGGGGTCCGCAAGCATGGCTTGAATTGAAAGCAAAGCTGTCCTTATGGACAATGCAGGGGACCATTCATGTTTGAGAATATCAAGGCAAATGGCACCTAAAATCAAAAAGTAGAAGCAATTCGAAGACAATAATTCCAACTAACTGCTCATCAACATTAACTAATGCCGCGGCGCCCTGGAAAGTAAGTGCAGGACGAGGCTGCTACTGCTGGATATCCAAGAAGTTTTTCTCGTGTCCCTTACCTGTCTGAGACGACACGTTCGGGTGCCACACCTTCGTCACGAAGTTTATCTGCAGACAGCCACAACCATGGACCAAAAGACCGCCTTTACGTGAACATAAAGAAGTGAAACAGACTGGGGAGCAAATGAATATAGAGACACACCAAACAAGGGCGGAGCGGATGCACCGAAACAGCGCGGCAAACTTATTTCATGCAGAACCAGTAAACGTAAGAAATAAGAAAAAAAAAGGAAGAGCTACAAACCGGCGAACAGCTTCCAGCTCATAGTCTAGGCACCCTATATACAGGCGGCGATGTAAAGCGCAAAAGCAGCAATCTGAAGGTCAAAAATGATGGATACGAGTGCCTTGGCAAAAAACTTAGCAGCTAGGACTACAGAAATATGTTATTGTTGCCACAGTCGGCGCCGAACCAAAGAAACAAGTGAAAGCTGAAGTGTACCTTGGGAGGGTTGTACGGATAATCGGAGGGAATGTTAATGTCGAGTATGAAGACGCCTCCTTCGTACGGCGTGTCTAACTGCAAGCCAAACATAAGCATTTTTCCATTCACGTGCAGTTCGAAGCAAAACTAATGACGAATATGAAAGCTTCTGTATTCGGATCGATCGCTACTCACGCCCATAATATAAATGGAGGAGCTACGTCTTAATGAGTACATATACTATCGTATACAATGAATTCGTGTAGCCACAAAAACGCTTATTAGCACGCATACGTATATGGAAACTCCTACATCCAAAGTTGCTGTGAGATGATCGGATATGTGTCTGCATATTGAAACCCGCGCGCTCCTGCGTGAGCGTGCCCAGTAACTTACAGGCCCTTTGATTCGCCCTCTCCAGTGCGATATGTCTGTATCCCATTTCTCTGCATAGACGTCATGCTCGTCGTCATTTGCCTTTCCTTCCCTGTCTTGTTGCAGACCCAGCAGCTCCTGTGATGTGCACGAGAGTGGCAAACGCATGAAAGATGAAGTGAACACTGAGCACAGTCAAATCCCAGTGCACTGTAATCATTCAAACTCAACGCAGAGGCGAGAAGGCACGACACAGTTAGAGAACCAATATACACACCCGTGTAACTTAAAATCGTAGAGAAAACGTGGATCGGGAGCGGCTCCCGTCGCTACTGTTGCAGCAGTCCTTCGATCATGCTGTTCTTTGTGCTGAGATGGCCCTTCATATTTGCTTCAACTGGGCACAATTAGCTGAATCAAATAACAATCCCGCGTGCGTTGCCGTTCATGTTTCCGCAGCGGCGAGTACCCACCTTTTCGAGTCTTGCATGTTCCCTAGGTTTTGCCATCCTTAGGTTTGCAGTAATTTGTACTTTTAAATTAATTTTAATTCTATGTTATGACGCGTACACAGGAGGCGCTTCGTCTGGCCGACGGCGGCGGCTCCCGTACAACGGAAGCGGGTAGAAACAGAGGGTAGGACTGCTGCGGTGGGTTTGTTGACTAGAAAGAAAGACGCAGCACGCAGACAGACATAATTGAACAGGCTGGGTGCTTACAATAATGCCGAAAACAAATGCACACGGAAGGACCAACAAGAACAACTTGCATGTGTTGTGGCGCAACCAACCTAAACAGGCTTCTCGCCAAGCTCACCAAGGGCCCCCCCCCTCTCCCTCGCTCCATGGCTTAAGTAGTTCAACTTTTTACTGAATTTCTGCCCCACAGTTACATGTTTATTTCTTCAAATACCGGCTGCCGCTCTATTCATGAGTATGAACAACGGCCAGCGCCAGCCTCAGGCTCTCCAGTTTAGCCACAGTCCGTACCCGAATCTTACAAAACGTTTTACCCTCAGCTTCTTCAATTTTACAGCATTTTGCTGCTTTTTTTCAAGCCGGCTACGTAGTAATTGACAGTCGCTACCTTATATGCGGGGGGAGGGAAAGCACAACTCAGTCAACGCTGCAGCGCCCCCAAGCCACAATATAGAAATAATCCAAGTAAGATTGCGGAATTGGAAAGATGGGAAGCAAAGGGTGGCCCTTGGCAAGTTCTCATGGGCCAAGGGTGATTTGAACTCTAAAATCTGTCTGAGTCACTTCGGCGAAAGGCAGTGATTCTAAAGAATCAGTGTTTCTCTGCGACGAAGTTCACTCCCGTTTCGCTGACTGCCTCTGTTTTAGAAAAAGCATCAGGCTAATATCTCTCCAGATTCCTCCTGGACATCTCACTGTTGAGGGCTTCAATAATATGCCAAAGCCTGGAGGTCCACAGTATAGGCTTAATACTGTATGCATGTGTCACTTTGCATATCTGGCGGCCAGTTTGTAACAGTTCCATGAGTCCTTGTGTCCACACTCACTAGGCCTGATTATGCACCCGAAAAGCTTTATATCTGTTCTGTAGTCTCAACATGGAGTTTGCCAATTCCGCACAGCAAAGCAACAGCCCCATGAGGCCCTGAAAGCTACTTTACGTCCACATTGAAACAGAATGTAAGAGGAAAGGAAATGTGCAATTTGCAGTTCCTTTTTGAGGAGGTTGTGTGATCAATCCAAACTGCCCATTATGTGTGGGTTTCTTCCTATCCTATATTGGGAAATTAGGTTTTCTCCTGTAAACTTTCTGCAACACTGCTGTATATTGTTTTTCTTCCTGCAGTCAAATGGAAGCTGCATCAATATCACAATCACAGTCGAAAGACCTCCGTAATCGCTACAGGTCCCTCGCTGCAGAAACAAAGCAGCTAGTTGTGGATGTTTGGTTGGACACAAAAAAGCTAGGTTTTAAAGAATATGGAGCCCTTTTACAATACACGGGATTCCCTTTATAGGACAGCGAGATCTTCCTTGGAGGCTGGTGGCAGCTTTTTTGGATATGAAGTGTGCCGTCGCCCTCCTCAGCTTGCTTTTTAACCTGTTGTTCTGAATCGGTGTTTATTTTGTCTTAACATTCGTTCGTAGTTCTGCGCCGACTTTGTTCTCTCTGCTGAGGTCGGTTCACTTGGAGAGTGTCATTGTAAGTGCTTTTTGATGGGCAAGCAGTGTCAAATGTACAGCATGGAGTGCCAGAGCGACAGAAAGTACAAAGAAACCTTATAAAAACAAAGAAAAATACAGCTTTAGTGCCGCTTTCCCATATATGAAGGCGTGGAGCTGGATCTACACGACGGTGTGGTGCAGCTGTGAAATAGTTCTTTCAAATGAGTGAAACAGGAAGACCATGCAGTTACTTTGCATTCAGTGCAGTATATAATGCTAAAAACGGCTGCACACTGCAATCAAAGGGCTACAAGCACTAGACAACTCTGAGTAAGCCAGTATTCTGGCTGCACCTGGCAGTGCAGCAGGTGCGTGAATCCTTATAGCCGTGGGCCCTCTGGACTTTAGCCCTATGTGTGTGAGAGAGCTTTTATACAATTTTAAATACCTTACTTATGCATTGCATGAAGAAGGCAGTGCAGACTTTGACGGATCCAAGAAAAATGCCGCAAGCCAGCCAGCAGGGTGATTGGCAGATTTTGGCATATTCCGGGCATATTCCTCTACAGGTCTGAGCCGGATCAGGGCAACTGAAGTAAATTAGGTAACAACTGTTGCTGTGGGCAGCACAAAAGGAACAGAAAAAGTGTAGCCTGAGAGAATTGCTAGAAAAGATGAGTTGAATGTTCTGAAGAACCAGCCGAAGTGATTCTTATGCTTTTATTTTGGTTTTTCTGCTACCATTAGGATACTCTTTAAAGGCTGCGCTTCCAATTAAGTGAGGCTGGCTTTTGTATCTTAATTTTTCCGAATGTTCCTACCGCAGTTATCGGTATTTTCAAAAATATTCGTCAATACCTAAACTTCGTCGATACGCAAATAACTTTCCACTCCTCAGTATAGTTTTTATTGCTAAACGCTTTTTCGTGTTTACTATTTTTAGGCATATTTGTTCAAATGCGGTCTTGTGTTTCTGTTTTCTTGGCTCCATGATGCTGCACAATTTGAATTGCCGTTTTGCATGCATCCTCATCGGAAAGCTGCTCATTTGCTGCACTTTTGTGAAAAAATTCTTTTAATTAAAAAATAAATTCTCCTGGTGGCTTAAATGGTGGTTAAGGCGGCTTTCCCGGAGGATCAGCAAGATGGGAAGCAGTTGAATTCAAAAGAGTTTCTTGCCACTGCGTTCCATGCAAAAGAGTCTTCACCATATTAAATTCAGCAGAGTTTTGCCACTGAGGGCTCTCACTGCATCTAAGTCATTATGAAAGCTCAAGGATTCAAAAAGCTGCTTCTAATAATGCATTATTTAGTATTTGCTACACAAGAGCTTTTGCCTAGCCGAGGCTTGCAGCGGCTGCTGTGGATTTCTTATAGATAAGAAGACCCCAGTAAGTCTGGATTCTTTTTTGACTGTTTTGAGGCTAAGACAAAAACGAAGGTGGAATTAATTCATAATGAATATAAATGAATAATGCAAACACTTAAAACTGGCAAAGTACAAGTTCGAGAAACACTAAACTTGAAAGTAAATAAAGATAAATTAAACTCTCACTTACATAACTTGAACTGGCGCAGCAGCTTGGGCCAATAGAGCAGCAGCAGCAACACAGCTGCATGCAGCAGCAGCCCTTTGCTGCTCCCGCTGCAGCAGCAGCCCTTTGCTGCTCCCGCTGCAGCAGCAGCCCTTTGCTGCTCCCGCTGCAGCAGCAGCTCTTTGCTGCTCCTGCTGCATTGCCCGCAGCACGAGGACTAACTAAGAACTACAGGAGCTTCACTATGCATGCCATTAATAAGACATTAAAGGCGCTGCGAGGACATAAGGGCTTTAGGATCCTTCTTTTGAAATTTGAACTATTTAAATTGATAAACGAGAAGCAGCGCCGCCTTCTTACTAAGATATTAATGGCTCAGTTAAGTTCAGCCCCGCTTAGCAGCAGCAGCAGCAGCAGCAGCAAAGCCAAGAGAGGAACTGGGCGTGTTATTATACTGCCAGGGGCTTGCATTGCCTGGGGTCTGCTGCTACACTCGTGCAGCGCGAATAAAAGGTGAATGCGGCTTAAACAAAAAATAAAAATAAAAAATAGAACTTTGCATGCACTGAATAGGCTTAAGCGGATCACGAGGGAGAATTTTGCCTATACAAGTCCCACGTTGCCTCTTGTGGTTCCGGCGCTGCCAAAAACAGGCAGCAGCTTCCACTGAACAGTTAGAGGGCCTCTCGCTGCATTTTGACCATGCAATTAGGCATAAATGAAGACATTCAACATGATTGTTTTGTTTGTTCTCTATTTGTCTTGAGCGGATCGCTAAGGTGCTCAGCTTCCTGCTCTTGGCGTGTTCAGAAAGAAGCACGTGGCCGGGTAAACTGCTGTCTAGCGGTCCTTCGGAATTAAAAGTTCTGCTTTATACTTTCAAAAAGCTGCCGCGATTTATTATTTTGGTTCGCCCTTTCTATTCAAATGGGTCAATCGTTCCAAACGGTCGGCGTCATGGCTTTCGGCGGCGGGCCCTGAGGTGCATGTACACCAGAAATCGAACAGCTTTTGCAACGCACGACCTCGCACAACTTTAGTTGCATTTAAGGCACAAGCGCATTAAAATCCTTGTCCATTTTTTTTGGTTGGCTGCTTCACACTGACTAGGCCGTGGTTTCTTTCCTTCTGGTCACTTTCCCCGTACTCCTCCTCGAGTACCCAGCTTTGCACATCGCAGGAACTCGCGCTCGAGGGCCTCGCAGCGGCCGCCCAGCCGGCTCTGCCCGTCCCAAAACGCAACACAGCTCTCTGCTATGCAGCGTGGGTCTATTCCGCGCGTTTGCTGCAGCTTTCTGAGCAGCGCTGGCGGGGGCGGCAGCGGCTCCCTGGGCTTTCCCACAGCCGCGTTTTCGCTGGGGGCGCAGCTGGGGGCCTCAGCTGCTTCTTCTTTGCTTTAAAGTGGCCATTTATTTCCCTTTATCCCGAAGATCGGGCCCCATCTTCGAAGCCTCTTGGCCTGCTGCTGCCCGCGCTGCAGCGCTGCTTCTGCTGCCCCCTCTTCGCCGCTCGCGGCTGTTGCTGCTTCGACTTGTGCGCAACTCGGCGAGGGACCTGAAGGCCACGCTCAGCCCCTGGCCCTCCCGTTGCATGCCCCAGCAGCAGCAGCAGCAGCAGCAGCAGCAGTGCGATGGCTGCGTCCTCGGGCCGCGCCGTGTGCAGCGCGCTGCAGTGTACAGACACCGGAATGGCCGCAGACGCATGCGCTACTGCTGCAGCAGCAGCAGCAGGGCCCCCCCCGGAGCTGGGGAGGGGCGAAGAGCCCAAAGAGGTGATTGTTATTAAAGACAATTCTTCAGAAGAAGATTCAGATTCTCTTGAAGTCTCGGATTTGCGTTTTGGCCGCAGGGCCCAGCCCATAAGATACTCCAGGGCCACGCGGTGGGCCAGTTAGCGCAAAGACTTGAAAATTAATTAAATTTAAAAACACTTTTAAACACTTAGGGGCCCCCAGGGGCCCCCAGGTCCGGAGAAGTGTCCACTGGTCACCCGGCAGTGGTCCACTGGTCTAGGGCTTCCGCTTGCTGCGCCCCTTGTGCCTCTACCTGCTTTGCTGCAGCTGTTGCAGCTGCTGCAGCTGCAGCAGTGCATCAACAGCAGCTGCTGCAGCTGCAGCAGTGCATCAGCAGCAGCTGCAGCAGTGCATGAGCAGCAGCTGCTGCAGCAGCTCTTTCGCATTCTCGTTGGTGATTGTTTCATTTGACTAATTTTTTTCTTTTGCTGCTGCAGCTACCACATGCTGCTGGAGGTGGCTCTGGAGCGGAAGCGGCTGAGGCAAGAAAAGCGCGAGCGGGAGAGCGGCGGCAGCAGCAGCACGAGCAGCAGCAGCAACAGCAGCAGCAGGAGGCCGAAGAAGGGCGCGCTGGCTGCGGGCAGCAGCGGCGGCCGCAGCAGCAGCAGCAGCAGCAGCAACGCATGCATGCTGCTGTTCTCGAAGGACCCCTTCGAGTCCAGCACCGACGAAAGCGACACCGAGTGGGACCCTGCTGCGGTGTATGGACAGGCCGCGCGGCGGCGGCTGAAAAGCAAACAGTCGGAGACAGAGTCAGAATCTGAAGAGTTGACGGACAGCCAAAGTGGCTCTTCGGAGGAGAAAAAAGAAAGCAGAAAGGAGTCAAGTGCAGCAAACAATTTGCTTCCAGAAGACTCCGAATCCAGCGCAGAAGACGCGCCAGCTGCGGCCTCCCAAGACGCAGCAGCAGCCGACACGCAGCAGCAGCAGCAGCAGCAGCGGCGGCGTCGGCAGCAGCAGCAGCAGCAGCGGCACGCGCGGAGCGACACAAAGGATAAGTGGGATAGGACAGGAAAGCGGGGGCGCAACGGCAGCACAGATGGAGAAGAAGCCGCTGCTGCAGCAGCAGCAACCAAGCAGCAAAAGCAGCAGCAGCAGCAGCAGCAGCAGCGGGAACGTGGGAGAGGGGGGAAGGGAAAGCGCAGCCGCAGCAGCGAAGAGGCTGAAGCACAAGGGGACGACAAAAGACAAACCAAAGAAGCAACTTTGCAAATGTCTTCAAATAAAAGTGCATGCAGAAGTGCAGGCGGGAGGGGAGAGGGGAAGCAGCAAGAAGGCAGCAGCAGCAGCAGCAGCAGCAGAAGCACGAGCACTGGCGACGCGCAAGAAGCAAAAAAAAAGAATTAAAACGCCCGCAGAAAAGCTGCAATAAATAAAAATGCACTGAGCAAGTCGAAATTTGAAATGCAGATGAACTCTCGTGAGGTGTACGGACACCTCGCGTGCACACCCGCATGTGCAAAATGCTCAGCAAGGAATGTGAATTTGATCATTTATAAAAGTCCCACTTATATATATAAATATATATAATAAATATATATATATATAAATATATAATATAAATGTCTAGGTACATAAATACACATTTGGAGATGTGTATATGCTTTGCTGATGTATTGAAACGGATCGAAGACGCACTTGCATGCACTTCAAGACCCCACATGTGCGCATGCATGCATGCGTGTACACTTGAACACTTTTGTGCATTTTGGAAAAGATAAATGAAAGGATTTGCCTTTTGCTGCTGCAGCTTCAGTAGCAGCTGTGGAGCCGCAGAAGACTCTCTTTAGTTTTTGCGTTGAAGGTTCAATTTGCGTTTCGTGTTTGTTTCTAGCGTCGCAGCAGCTGCTGCTGCTGCAGCAGCAGTGCACGCGCTTGCGCTGCTGCTGCATGCGCTGCTGCTGCTGCAGCAGTGCATGCATGTGCACTCTCCGTGTACTTATTGTATGTCTTTGAATTTCTCCAGCTTTCTGCAGCGGGTCCCAGGGCTGCTGCTGCTCCCTCCAGCTTTAATATTATTATTTAAATGATAATATTATTTAAATAATAATGTTACTTAATAATAATATTGAACTTCCTTATTTTGAAAGATTTTTTGTGCCTCTCACAACGTCAAAAGCCAGACTAATTTTTTGCGTGGAGCTCTGGCGTTGCTTTTCGGGTGTATGTACACCTCCTGCCAGTCCTCTTTACCTCCAATTCTTCTTCTGTTTATCTCTAATTCGTCTCCAATTCATTTTTAATTCATTTCTAATACATTCTTTATTCATTTGTAATTCATTGTTTATTTATCTCTTATTTATCTTTAGCTAGAATAGTTTGCTGGCCTCTGCAGCAGATCTGCCGCTTTACAAATGTGAAGTAGATAAACTTGAAGTGTTCACAATACATAAAAATAAATAAGTATAAATAAACATAATATAAATATGAATATAAATATAACTTTGTACTTCTGTACATATCTGCATGCACAAATATTTACCTAATGCAGATCTACATTTGCAGTTCGTAACGCTGTGTACATACACCTCTTCAAGCGAAAGCATCTAATTGAAAAGTGTGCCGGGTTTAGGGTTTGCCACGCGGGTTTGTAGCTGCAGTTCCTAGCGAGGTTTAGGCTTTTGTTTCTCTTTTGAAAGCCGCGAATTTGGAATCACGGAAATGCGGAATTGCGCAAAAAAGAGAAATAAACACGCGCCGCCGCAGCAGCAGCAGCAACTGCAGCAGCAGCAGCTGCTGCAGCAGTAGCGCAGGAGGTGCTCCGGAACGTATCCGGAGCCTAGGTGTACAGACACACGGAGTCTCTGCGTGCCCATGCACATATTTTATAGTTGTTTGCACACGCACACATAATATATATATTATATATATTATATACATGATATATGCATATTGTACATATAATATATAATATATACACAATATATATATATTACAAATATAATATATACACATTATATACACAATGTATACATATATATATATAATATATATAATATATATAATATAGGTATATTGTGTATATATAATATATACATATTATATATTATAATACATACATATTATACACATAATATATATATACATATGCTGCACATACGAGCCTCAACAAAGGCGCGAGTCTGCGCATGCATGCAAGTTTGGAGTTTGGAGTTTTTATTGTTTTTGGCGAAGTCCGCAGAAGGGGGCTTTGCTGGGGACTAAAGAAGACAAGTGAGCCTTGTTGTGGGCCCCCCCCCCGCCCCCATACATGTTTGGAAAAGAAACTAAAAAGTGCATTCCAGGTTCGAAGTCCCCGAGGCCGGTGCAGCCGCCTGCAGACACGCGCGGCAGCCGCTGTGCTGCGGTGTACGTACACCCCAGACCCCGCTGCATGCGCGCCGTGCATGCGCCAGCGACAGCTGCACCGCCTTTCTGCACAAGACGGCTTTATTGCAACGAAGAAAAGCTTCTATTTAATAAAGACTTGAAAATAAAAATAGAAAAGAATAACAGAGAAGATAAAACAGGTACTGACATGCAGCTTCCTCTACGGCCACGGGGCAGCAGAGGAGTGCAGTAAAGGCACGAGAAGAAGAGTAGAATACACAATATGTTACATAAAAAGCAAATAAATAATAATAAATGATAGACTATAATATATATAATATGAAAAACAACAAATAAACAGTAACAAATGATAAGGGAGAAGAAAGAAGAGACTGAACTCCGCAGCTACGCGCTGTCTGTACACCCCAGGTGCGCCGAAGCCGAGTTGAGCCGATTAAGATGAAACAGAACAATTTGAGGTTAAATAAAACAATAGGACTATTTAGTTTTGGAAGCAAAAAGTATTTAGAGTCCATCTAGCCCACCTGAATACAGCCGGCGCTCCCACATGTGGTAGCCCAGCAGCTCCTCCTCTTCTTGCAGCTGAAACTTCGCCTCTTCGACATAAGGCGCCAAATAGGGAATAAAAGGATCATAGTTTTGTTCTGCAGCAAAAGCACTTTATAAAAAACAATTTACTTTCATCTAATTAATCAAATGAGTCCACTTAACCCTAGATTCCTCCGATCGTTCGCGGGGTGTCTGTACACCCCAAGAACGCGCGCCGCAGCACTTTTCCGAAACTTCCACTTCCGCAAGTTCCCCCGCACTTCACCACTAAATTAAAACATTTTCTTTTCTACTTTTTGAATTAATTTACCATTTGGAGGCAAATAAAGTCGAACATGATTCAAATGCGTGGCTCTCATGATCCTGCGGTATCTGGCGGTGGCCAAGTCTTCGGGCAGAAGCTCCAGCGCGCGCTCAATGACCGGCTCTTTGTCGGAATAAAGGTCATCGTACATCAATCCTGATAAAATAAAATAAAACTAAATAAAAAAAAAGAAAATAAACAAAAAAGACAAAAAATCATCTAAAAACTCCCCAAATTGCCTTTTATTCGCCCCACTTCCTCGCGGACTCCGCAGCTCAGCTGCGGCATTCTGCGGTGTACGTACACCTCAACGCCGCGGCCAAATGCGACACGCAAAAGAGCAGCAGCAAAAGTGTGCATGCGAAACAGCAGCAGCAGCAGCAGCAGCAGCAAAAGTGTGCATGCAAAGGCCACAGCAAAGAACCCCAACCCCCACGCCTATCCATTAGTCACACTAAGCTCGGCCTATGCTTTCTGCATCCTTCTGCTGCCGCTGCTGCCGCTGCTGCTGCACTGCTGCTGCTGCTGCTGCTGCTGCTGCTGCTGACCTTGTTCCCTCAAGTACTTGCCAATGGCCGCCTGGTTCCACCTGTCCAAAGGGCCTCTGAAGAAGCGGAACCAAACGGGGGCAAGGAGTTCGCTGAGGAAGGAGCGAACAGCAGATGGCTGGGGTGCAGCAGGAGTGAAGGCCACGAGGCTGGCCATGCTGCTGCTGCTGCTGCTGCTGCTGCTGCAGGGGGCCCCCGCGGCGGAGGCTGCGTACTTGGCGAAGTACTTCGCCACTTCGCGGTGAAAGGCCGCCATTATAAATAAGTTCAAACGTTGAAATTTGCTGCTGGGCCGCCAGCCCCGAAACGCTGCGCGCGCAGCAGCAGATCTTCCTCGAAATGCGCCGAAGTTGCTTTTAAAGAAGGAATTTAAAAAAAGAATATAAAAGGCTTTTCATTTATTTAGTTAATTTCCAAAAATAAGCGCAAAGCTGCAACAGCATCAGCTGCTGCTGCCGCTGCTGCAGAAGACCGCACACCCAACGGTCTGCGGCAGCCAAGCCATTGCATGCGCTGCAGCGACAGCCGCTGCTGCGTTTCTTTTTATTATTTTTAATTTAATTTTCATTTTTTATTTTATTTTTTTTATTTTTATTTCTTTATTTCGCATTTTTAAATCTAAAGAGCGGCGCTGGGCCGCCGCCGCCAACCGCGCCCACAGACGCGCAGAAAGCGCTGTATGGACACCTTGCCTTCGCCTCTCTATTGTTTCCACTTATTTTGATTTTTAAATCAATCAAATCAATTAAATTAATTAAATCAATTAAATTAATTCAATTAATTCAATTAATTTGAAAAAAAGCGACGAGTCCTTGCCAGCCCGGACTTCTCTACTGAATTACCCTCGCGAACGCAGCCGCTGCAGTTTGGCTCGCCAGCAGCGCAAAAGCACTTCAAAAGAAACAGAAAATGAATCAGATTTTTGATGAATAATGCTCTGCATTAAATGACAAACAAGGAGGCAAAACGTGCATGCAAAGGGGCCAAAAAAGGGGCCAAAAGGCCCCTCAAACGGCCCCTCCATCACTCTTTTTGGCTTATCTCAAGCTGCTAATGTTGCTGCTAGCTTTCTGCAACAAAGTCGCTGCGGCTGTGGGGCCCCACAGGCCCACAAAGCTGCATGCGCATGCACGCGGGGGCCCTTGCCTTCTTTGTTTTATCTAATGATTTAAAACAAAATTTTATTAAAAAGTACTTTAAATAACTTTAAAGAAAACAAAACAGCCCCAAGTCTCCTCGGCGTGTCCTTGCACTCAACATGCGCTGAGGTGTACGTACAGTGTACGCCCAAAAGCGCATAGATATATATAAAAAGCAGTCTATAAACACAGATATATATACATATATTTATAAATATATTTATTATATGTATATATAATATATATAATATATATTAGATATGTAAATTCATTATACGCATTTAAATATATATATATATATAATATATATATATAAATTGCAGCACATCTATAGAATACATTTATATGGCTCCCCCCGTACATTTCCGGATTGAATAAATAACAGATGTAGAATTGAAGACACAAATATAAATATTGTAAATATGATAAACGCGCACACAAAGAAGCACCCTTCGGCAGTGCCCGCTGCTGCTGCTGCAGCAGACAAACAGCAGCAGCAGCAGCAGTAGCAGCAGCAGCAGCAGCAAATTCCCGCGGCAGCAGCAACGCCAAAAACGGCGCTGGGGCCTACTGGCCGCAGTACCTGCTGAAGGTGTCTGCGAGTGCTGCAGCAGCTCGCAAGTTGAGTTGGGATTTTTGTTTTCTTTCGAAACGACTTTCACTTTGACTCCCCTTTACTGCATCGTAATTGCATTCACTCTGCGCCTTCTCGCAACCCGCTGCTGCTGCTGCGTGCTGCAGTTTGCTTCGGAGGCGGCGGTCTGCGGCCTCGCGGATCTCGGGGTGTACGTACAGCCGGGCGTCGGGGCGCACGACGCGCGCGGGGTGTCTCCACAGGTCCCCCCATGCTGCAGCACGAGCTTTTTTGTATCCTGCTGCATGCAGCATTTGTTTGGAAACAGCAAGTCTTTGGAAAGTGTGGGGTTTGCTGCAGCAGTCCAGCAGCACGTGGCTGCTGCCGCGGAGCGGGGGCCCCACCAGCCGCGGCCAGAAGAAGGACAGCGCCTCGGGGGGTGCCCCTGCTGCTGCAGCAGCAGCAGCGCAGCCAAACTTGCTGCGGGGCCCCACACCCTTCCGCACCACCAAGTAGCTGAACTTCTCTGTCTCTACACTCCGGCTCCGCCGCCCCTTGCTGTACACTGCATGCGCCAGCCGCTGCAGCTGCTGCCCGAAGTGGCACCAGTCCCTCCCCGTGCTGCTCAGCGGGCAGGGGCCCTCGTGCGGGCACGGGCTCACGAAGTAAAAGCTGCTGCTGCTGCTGCTGCTGCTGCTGCTGCTGCTGCCGCTGCTGCCGCTGCTGCTGCTGCTGCCGCTGCCGCTGCTGCTGCCGCTGCTGCTGCTGCTGCTGCTGCCGAGCTCGCTGATGAAGAGCTCGCGGGCACTCCCCACAACCCGCGCGCCAGAGACTGTGCCGCGCTCCAGCAGCAGCAGCACGCCGCCGGCCCGCAGGCGGCCCCACAGCGACCGCAGCAAACTTTCCCGACTGGCCTGGCCCTCCACGGAGCGCAGCAGCACGTGCGGCAGCAGCACCAAGTCAAAGCGGTCGTCCTCGCCGTCCTGCTGCTGCTGCTGCTGCTGCGGGCGGCGGCGCAGCCCCTCGTCGTAGAGGGCCATTTGCCAGACAACTGGGGGCGACAAGTCGGCGGTCAAGTAGCGGCCGATGTTGGCCAAGTGTTCGGAAGGCTCTACAGCCAGCATGAACTCAAACGGCGTCGCTGCTGCTGCTGCTGCTGCTGCTGCTGCTGCTGGTGGGGGCTCCTCCGCTGCCGCTGCTGCTGCTGCTGCGAGGGCGGGGTCGGGGCCCTTGCCGTGCTTCCTGGGCGCTGCAGCAGGGTCTGCATGCAGGAGGTGTCCGTACACCGCGTGCACCGCCAAAAGCCCAGCAGCAAAACCTGCATGCAGCTCCAGCACTCTGTGGGGTTTGAAGTCTGGGCAGCGGCTCTTGAGTTCCGTGAGGATCCGCAGCAGCGGGGCGTAGACTGCAGCAAAGCGGTGGGCCGTCCAGGCAGCAGCAGAGAGCGGCGAGTGACCAGTGGTCACCTGGCGGTAGAGCCGGTGCCGCGCGTCTTCAGCAGCAGCAAGGGCTTCCTGGGCCTCGCGGCCTTCGCAGGGCAGCTGCTGCAGCAGCGCAGCAGCAGCACCTGGCAGCGCCCGCAGCACTTTCGTGTCTCTGCCCTGCAGCAGCAGCTTCCGCGCAGACTGCGGCTCTCGCCAGCTCGCTGCAGCACAGCCTTCTGCTGCTGCTGCGCGCGCCGCCGCAGCGGCCAGCTCCCCCGCAGCGACGCCCTCCGGCGGCTGCTGCAGCTGCTGCAGCAGCACCTGCTGCTGCTGCTGCTGCTGCTGCCGCGCTGCAGCCTCAGCAGCTAGCCGCTGCACCTCCGGCAGCAGCAGCGAAGGCTGCACCCTCGGAAGCTCCACTGAAGTCCTCGCTGCTGTCTTCTGCGCCAGCAGCCGGCCTGTCTTCTCCAAGTCCTTCTTCCGGCCCACGTGCTGCAGCAGCAGCTGCAGCTTCTGCAGCACAGCAGCAGGAAGCTGCACTGTCTTCAGCGTGCACAGAGTCAGCGAATCCAGAGCAGCAAGCCGCTGGATGTCCGACCGCGGAGAGTCCCCAATCCGGTCAAACAAATACCCGCGGTGCACGTTGTCTTCATGCTTCCTACTGCTGCTGCTGCTGCTGCTGCTTCTACTGCTGCGGCTTCTGCCGCTGCTGCTGCTGCACAGGAGCGAACAGGACTTGCAGCCAGAGGTCTTGGCGCAGGTCCTGCTGGGCGCGCGCGGTGTATCGACGGCGCCGCTCGCTGTGTTGCTGCTGCCCGCGCTGCTGCTGCTGCTGCTGCTGCTGCTGGAAGCAAATGCGCGGGAGCGGAAGTGGTGGAGGGGACTGTGGGAAACACACGAAGACTGGTAAGAAGGCTGGCAGGGAAAGCAAAGGCACCCCTGCCAACTCGCAGCCGCTCCTGCTGCAGCTGCTGCTGCTGTTTCAGCTGCTGCGAAAGCTCCTTCTGCTGCTGGTGCTGCTGCGTCAGCCCAGGAAGCAGAAAGCTGGGAGGCTGAGGGGCCTCTGCGTCGATAAGCTGCAGTCAGGAAATACCGCTGTAGGTAGAATGGGGGTCTCACGAAGATGCCGCGAACAGCAGCCATCGAGGGCCCGCAGCCCAAATTGACTTCCATGAGTCAATAAATTCAATTTATTCATAAAATCAAAAAAAGGAACAAAACAAAGAGTACTCGAATTGAATTCCCAGGCTTTCGTCCACCAAGGTGGCGCCTCGTCGCGGATTTGTTGAGGTGTCTGTACACCTCAAGCCGTTTTTTGCATCACTTTTATTCTTGTGGTTTTTCGTCGATTTCAGCCGCCGCTGCGGAAAGCGGCTCGAAATTGCCGCGATCTCGCCTCTGTTTCCACCTAAGCCTCCATAAATGTGAAATAAATTAAATAATTTCGATAAGAAGCATATTTAAATCAATTTCTCCGCGCTTTCCGCACGAGGCGAACATGAACGGGGGGCCCCCAGCACTCGCTGAGGGGCTGTGCCGGGGCCTCCTCGGGGGCGATCGCCCCTTTGTTTGCCCAGTTAAAGCAGAAAATAGTTTATTTTGAATATGTAAATGATATTTAGCCACTAATACATTCGAATAAGTTGAAGATAGTCGATGGGCGTGGGCAGAAACGCGCTGCCGACTGCAAGGCCTGGCTGGTGCACCAGGGGCCTTCTCCAGAGTGTTCCGCCGCTCCAAGTCGTCCTATTTAATTCACTTTTTCTTTTTAGAAGACAACAGAATTAGTTTGCATTTTGTAAATCCGTTTAAAGGCATTGGAGGCCTTTTGGGGGGCGAAGGCGTTGCCTGGCAGCCGCAGCCTGGACAAGGAGTTTCTCCCGAGCAGCTGCAGCAGATCCGGCGAAGCCCCAGAGGCAGCATCGATGTTAATCTGTTTTGCACTTCCCGCGCGCTGGCGAGCAGCTTGAAGAACCGCTGCTGCTGCTGCTGGCGCCGCCGCCTCCCTGCTGCCGCTGCTGCTGCTGCTGCTGGGGGCGCAGAATGGCCGCGGGGGGGGCCCCGGGTGCTTCTTTGTTCAGCAGCGGCGAAGCGCTGGTGGCTGGGATCACCGGCCTGACGGACAGCCTGAACCGCATGCAGCAGCTTTGCTTCTCGCGCTGCTGCTGCCGCGTGGGGCCCCAGGGCGAAGTGCTGCTGCGGGGGCCCCCCGAGCCCCACTTGGAGGTCTGGGAGAAGGCTTGTGTGGACCGCTGCGTAAGCAAGCACATGCAGACTCACCAGTTGGTGGGTGCGGAGTTGGCGGCTGCGCATTCTGCAGCAGCAGCAGCAGCAGCAGCAGCAGCGCCAGCAGCAGCAGCAGCAGGGGCCGCTGCAGCCCGCCAGCCCTTCTCCTTCGCCTTAATGTGAGCCCCGCACCCAGCCCCTGCTGCAGTGTCTGTACACCTCACAATGCTGCTGCCCCGCCTGCTGGGCCCGCCGGCCCGCGCCTCCTGCGGTGTACGTACACCTCAGCAGTGCGCAAGCCACCAGCAGCAGCAGCAGCAGGGACGGCCGCTGCAGCAGCTGCAGCAGCAGCAGCAGCAGCGGCTGCAGCAGCATCAGCGGCAGCAGCAGCAGCAGCTGGTGCAGCAGCAGCAGCTGGTGCAGCAGCAGCAGCTGGTGCAGCAGCAGCAGCTGGTGCAGCAGCAGCAGCTGCTGCCCCCGGGGGGGGGGCCGCAGTGTACGTACACCGCGGGCCCTACAAGACAGGTGTGCAGCCAAGCACGGGTCTGCTGCTCGCAGCTGCCGCGGCTGCAGCGGGTTTACAGAATGGGCCCCGAAGAGCTGCTGCAGTGCATGCAGCACTGCAGCAGCAAACAGCTGCTGCTGCGGCGGCTGTGGGAAGGGTTTATGTACCGGTGGTGCGTGCTGCGGGGCGCGGTGTCTGTACACCAGCTGGTGCAGGTGGTGCGGCTGTTTGCTGCAGCACGAAAAAGAGAATTCAGTTTTATTAATTTCATTCTGGAAGGAATTCGCATGCAGCTGCAGCAGCTGAGTCTTAGCGACGCAGTGCTGCTGCTTGCTGCGCTGCAGCGGCTGCAGCTCCGGGACCCCCTGCTGCTGCAGTCCCTGCTGCCGCTTTGCTGCTGCCGCATAGCAGCAACAACAACCCCACCGCTCTTGGCGCTGCTCGCGCACACTGCAGCAAAGGACGCCTCCGCGCCGCTGCTGCTGCAGCAGCAGCTGCTGCAGCAGATCTACGTCTCCCTGGCCCCCCGGCTGCAGCAGCAGCAGCAGCAGCAAACTCTCGCGCTGCTGCTTGCTGCCTACGCGCGCTTTGCATGCGCCAAGGCGGGTGGAGGGCCTTTTCTCAACTTTGCTGCTGCGCCCTTGAGGTGTACAGACAGCTCAGCAGCGGGAGTCGATCCCGAAACTGAAAACCCCACACTTCCCTTTTTCGCCTTTTTGGAAATGCTGCTGCAGCGAATCAGCAGACACAAATGCATGCAGCAAATGAAGACAAAGGACTGC